TACATGGGCAAAAAACCCCACGAGGATAGAGAAGGAATGGTGGTGTGGCCATGCCCCCTGCGGGAGTGGCTGCTCACTTCCCTCTTGCTATCTCTGTCTCTTTCTCCAGCAAGCACACACGCCCTATAGCATAACCTCCAAAAAAAGAGTTACTATAAAACTTTGTAGCTCATGCTATTAAAATTAGAATGGACAAAAGTTGGGACCAGCAGATGGTGTAATAGCTACGTAACTAGACTCCCATGTAGTCAACTGCAGTTCGAGTCCCAGACCCGGTGGCTTAAACTCATGCTGGGTGCATGTGCGTGCCCAAGATCCGAAGGGGTGAATGGACTAGACGGGATTGCGGTGTGGCCATCCCCCTGGGGGGTGACTTCTTGCTTTCAGTTTGTCTCTGTCTTTCTGGTGAGCGCACTTGCCCTGTAGCAGAAACCTCTCCAGAATTAAATAAATAAGTAACATTTAAAAAAAAATAAAGGACAAAAGTTAAGAGGCTGTTGATCTCCTTTCTTGAGGAACCTCTAATTTGCATTTCAAGGAAAGGCTCTTAAAGGTAAAGCTGTGGGAAGCGGCCCAATGTCCCTGTCCCGCTCTCTGAAGCAGGGCACTGGGTAAGCGTGGCGCTGGGACAGCTCTACTGGCCTGCCGTGTCCATGTTCCCCTTAATTAGATTCGAGAGACTGTGTCGGATACAGGGTCCACTCCACCCACAGGCAAGGTTTGGTCATTAAGTTATCCAACATGTGTGGGCCAACTGGCGGCATGGCGTTGCTCGAGTGCCCAAAAGCCTGAGGAGAGTGAAGGACACCCCCAGGGACTTTTCTGTCTGGTAAGCACATGTGCCTTACAGCAAAACTTAAAAGGGAAAAAAAAAAAGAAAAGGTTAAGATTTTATGCCACAGGCTAGCCCTAAAGCTTAGTGGTTAAGAGAGCCAGGTCCCACATGCTCAACTGCGGTTCAAATCCTAGCCCTGGCTGTTTACCTTTTTTTTTTTTTTTTCTTTTGAGAGGTTTTCACTATAGGGCGCGTGCGCTCGCCAGGCAGACAGAGAGAGACATAGAGACAGAAAGCGAGAAATCACTGGCCACGCTGCAATCCCTCTTCCTCCATTCTCCTCTCGGGATCTTGGGCACGCACACACACGTGCCCGGCGTGAGTTTAAGCCAGCGGGTCCGGGACTCGAACGGCGGTCGACTACATGAGAGTCCAGCGACATAGCCATTACACCAACTGCTGGTCCGGCCCTGGCTGTTTAAAAAGAACACGCGGACGGTGTGTGTACCCCAAGCCCTGACAGGAGGAGGAAATGGAGGAGTCAGGGCTGGGGGGAGACCACACCCCAGTGGCAGGCGCTCCCCCCCTGCCTCTCTGTGGCAAGTCGACCTGCTCCATAGCAATTTAAGATCCTCTGCCACAGGGAGGTTTTTCTTTTTTTTTTTTTTTTCTTCAAAGAACAATACACAGCTTGAAGCAGTTTTTTTAAAGTTAAGTTTAGTCCCAAAGTTCGAGTCACGACAACAAGTCCTGAGAACAGCTGTGTGGTTCATGTGTCTCCACAGGGTTGGAGCCCTACCCCCAGCCCGGAGGGGCAGCACTGTACCTGCCGAAACCGCTTCTTTATCTCTTCATCGGTCACGTCCGGGTCTATCTGAAGAACCTAGAAGAGCCAACACCGAGACGTCAGAGCAGACGCATTCACGTCGCATTTGCACGTAGGAGATAACCCATGGTGTCTAATCACACGCACAGAGACGTCAGAACAGACGCATTCACGTCGCATTTGCACGTAGGAGATAACCCACGGTGTCTAATCACACGCGCACCACTGACAGCCAGCAGCTTTTGACAGAAAAGTACCCCACACTCCAAACACTGCCTGCCGCTTCCACAGTTGAAGAGGGGCAGTGGTGGTGTGGGGGTTCAGACGCAGGACCCGCATGGCCTATGGCCGCTCAAGTCCCAGACCCCAGCGCCTTGAAAGCCACGCTGGGCATTTGTGCCTCAAAATCCCAAGCAGAAAATGGAAAGAAGTGATTATAGAATAGCCACCGCCCTAGGTGTGATTTCTCGCTCTCTCTCTCGCTGTCTGTCCCCCTCCAGAAAGGACATACACCCTAAGGCAACAAAAAGAAAACTGCTCAAGAGGGCCAGCAGGTGGCATGGTGGTTAAGGCGCTGGACACTCCCATATGGCCGACCATGGTTCAAGTCCTGCACCTGGTGGATTGCTTTCTCATTTTCCTTCTCTCTGTGTGTCTGTTTTTCTCTGGTCAAATGAAAATAAATTAATAAATAAAATGAAATGTAATAAATAAATAAAAATCTTTAAAAACAAACAAACAAACAAAAAAAACTGCTCAAGAGAAATGAATGGAGCTGGCCAGGTGGCGTGTGGTTGACGTGGCTGGGTCTCGCATGGCTGACTGCCTGGTTTGAGTCCCAGCCCAGCCTTTTGAAAAACCCACCAGGTAGAGTTCCCACAGCTCGGGCAAAAGGAGCAGCAGGGTTTATCCGCCCAACTCCGCAAAGGTTCTAGGCACGCCACGGCACCCAGACACCCAGCTCGCACCCTGCCCACAGCCAAGACGCCCAAAAGGAAGGTCGGCTCAGCTGAGGGGGCGGCCAAGAAAGAGCCTAGAGGAGATCGGTGAGGTTGTCGGCTACACCTGCTCCTGCAAAAGAGAGGGAGCCAAAGGCGGCGGCAGGGAAAGATAAATCTTCAGACAAGAGTGCAAACAAAAGGGAAAGGGGGAGCAAAGAGGAGACAGGCTGAAGGGGCCGACCAAGACACTGAAGAAACCTGCAGAAAACGGAGAAACTACCAACGAGGAGACCCCTCTGAGGAAGCAGGCGAGAGAGCCCAGGCCGAGTGCTGACACAGCCCATATCTAGTCAGCGGCCCCTTCTCCCTTCTTGTACATCCACAGGAACATTTTATCAACTACTTTGTAAATGCAAGTTTTAGTAGCTCTAGAAACATTTTTAAGGAGAGAATCCCACCTCATCCCACTTTTTAAGTGTAAATGCTTTTTTTAAGAGGTGAAATCATTTACTGGTTGGTTGTTTTTCAGTACAACCAGAAAATAGTGGGATATAGACTTATAGGAGGCTTCGACCCTCTTGCTGTCGGCTTAACGTTCCATGGGTGGGGGCGGGTGGGCAGTTTTTAATATCTAAATACAAAGCAACGGCAGTTCGGAGTCACAGTCATGCATTTAATGTGTCTGGAATATTTTAAATGACTCCTGTTATGTTTTCAGTAGCATTTCTTTTTTTTTATTTCAATTTATTTATTTGCATTCATTCACTGTACATCATTACAGCATAGAAAATGAGATTTTCCATCAGAGTACACTGTATATTGTCCCAATCAAGCACATCAACAAACATGTTATTGTCAACAAATGATCTTCCATTTCTTGTTTTCTGTATGTTTTGCTTTTTTTCCCCCATCCTTGATTCCCTATTCTTACCCCCTGCCATCTCCCACTCTCCTCCCTCGCTGTCTCTGGTATCTATGTTTGCTTTCTATACTGTTTCCCCCCACATTTTATTGAATTACAAAAGACCCTAATCAATCCAAATACCCTCATAGCAAACACAGGTGACACACACATTTCCATGAACACAAGTCTAACTTT